AGCAGTTACCACAGTTACACAGAAAATAAAGATAGCCCATTTTTTCGTATTTCTTTATACTGTTTTGTCTGCTGTGCATTGCGCTAGTGACAAAGTTAGCGTTTATTATAGCCTTGTGCAGAAACGACAGGATAAAACGAAATAACAAGGAAAGCAAGCATTTCGTGAGGCTGTTTCGCTATTAACAGCACACAGTTTTCAAGATCATTCGGCATTTTCACTTGCAGTTTTGTTACAACTGCAAAAACAGAATTTGCGCTGTACGTGTTGTCTCCCTTTTTCTTCATACTTTATAGGCTGAATAAGGAAAGAGAGAGAGAGCGAGAGAGAGAGAGAGAGAGAATACCTATCCGCGGAGAACGTCAGAGTCATGAATGATTTACTGAATCTGCTACTGCTTTCATACGATCTTAAAACGTTCGACTCATCCTGTGTCGACCTCGAACGTGCACTTGAGTGGGTTCACTGTTGCAGGCGATGAAACAAGAATGATGATCAGCTAGCTTCATCAAAAACTAGACTTTCAAACTCTCGGGAAGGGCAGTTTGCTTGTGAAATGCAGATGAGGAACAACAATAACAGGGGTTACACCTTCTGCTGATTGTTCACTGGATAATCAGGACTATCAGGTCGGTAAAGGCGAATTGCAGCCCTACGAAACTTCGCATAAGATAGCATGACCGTACCTTTCCCCCATTCGGGCATCACTGCCCTAAAACATCATGCTGCCTTCATGTTAATAAGTCAGAAACTTGCTACCCGTTTTTCGGCTGGTTGCATAGAAGCAAACACTGCGTAAATTCCTTACTCAATGGAATTCGCAGTTAAGACAAAGGCTGCGTCTCCCACGAAACAGAACCCGCACCTCAGGCGTTTGAGGGAGACTTCATTACCACAGTTCAACCGCGCTCTCGATAGCATCAACGGTTGACAGAAAGGAGAACGTGGAAATATACACAAGAATCAGTCAAGTGAAAGCAGTAATGCGGAGGCCAAACCAATCTATGGTAACGAAGTAGTAGATCAGCAATAATATGAAATTTTTTGCAAAGCTATGTCTTAAAGTTTCTTTACGCGCCAGTACACATCTAACCAAGGTCATGAGGGCTGAATAGCAACCGAAAATGTGCAATACTGAATAAAATTAGCAGAAGTGAGGCTCGTCGAAGCGCTGCTGCTATGACGAAACTGGAGAAGCTTCGAAAAGTTGCAATGCGAGACATTTGCTGGTGAACCGCTACTTCTCCAAACCAATACACCACAGTAGTAACAATCCTTGGGTACATTAACATGACACTAGAGAAAAACTCGCAAGACGTATAAGGCGGTCAAAGGGCAGATCAATGACTAGATGGCATAGATAAATCGAGCATAGCGCCTTTGAATCCAGACCGTTGAGCTTTTCCGACTGGCGGAGGTCCGAGACTACCAGGAGAGTTTCCTGAAGTTGCTGCAGTTAAATCCAAAAACAGCGAACTAAAATACTAATGGTGTGGAGAAGGTGAAATGCAACTGCTCTCTGACATTTTACTGCATTACGTACAGTTGGCAGTCCGATTCAAGCGATGTTAATCGACTACAGTTAATTATTCCGAGCTCTAAATCGACTAAGACTTATATATGGCACTCTCTTCAGTATGCTTCAAACTGTCATATATGAGCTGTCCCACTAAAGAGAGTTCGCTTACGAAGGACTAGTAAGTAGGAAAATAAGACTGTGCTTGTCTACAAAT